TTTTTTTTCTTTTATGAACAGCAATGCAGGAGGTGACTTAATTAATAAAGCAGCTCTTGACTTCTGGACAAGTGGAAAGAGCAGGGAAGAGATTCAGTTGAAAGACCTGGAGCCCATGCTATCTGTAGGAGTCTTCAATAACAAGAATAGTAAGTCACTTTTCCCAGAAAATGGGAAATCCCTTTTACTTCATACCATGTGGTTAATCTCTTGACTTTGCCCTGCTTTTCCCTTTCCCCAAACCCCTCCAGGTGGACTGTGGCACAGCAGCCTCATCGACAGGAACCTCATTGACTATTTTGTCCCTTTCCTGCCCCTGGAGCACAAGCATGTGAAGATGTGTGTCAGGGCTGAAATGACAGCCCGTGGCTATGCTGTCAATGAGGAGGTTGTCCAGGCTGTGGCTGATGAGATGACATTCTTCCCAAAGGAGCAGAAAATCTACTCTGATAAAGGCTGCAAGACTGTACAGGCCAAGCTGGATGTTCATGAAGACATTGCCATGAACAACATGAAAGCCAAGGGCTGATTAGCACCCTTCAGGTCTCCAAAGCACTTTCAGAGCTTTTGGAAATCTATATATTTGCACTCAAGCTTTTTTATTTTACTGTTGCAGGGACTATGGTGAAGTTACCAGAGTGAGCTGTGTGGGCTTTTAAACTTTTTTTAACATCTCACTGTTCATCTCTGAAGTGGCTGCTATCCAAATGTTGCCTCCTTTATTCTTCTTTTAACCTATAGAGAATTTCTGAGTGTGTCACTGAAGTAGCACTGGATACAGCCTTTCCTTTACTCTTCCAAGTGCTGGGATTATTAAGTATTCCTCTTCCCACACAAACTAGCCTAGAGCAAAGAAGAGACAGTTGTATTCCCTTCCTTGTACAGGGTCTCATTGATGGGTTATTGAAATGGAGGGATGTGTGGTGTGTTCAGGGCTGATTGTGTCTGCAAGGGTGAAGACCCTGATGTGCTGCAAGAAGATGATGGTATGGTAGGAAGCTTCCCATCCTTCACAGCAGGCTGTGAAGCATGTTCCTTCTACAGACATCATCTATTCAGGGACAGAAGGGTGTGATGACAGTTTATGTCTGAGCTGTGGCATCTATCACATCTGCACCAGTAACATGGAAAGCCAGGATGAGCTCAGGGAAATCTGTACTAAATAGTAGAGAAAGGCTGAGGTGGGGAAGGAACTGCTTGTCCCTGAGCTTCTTTGGAGAAAAAGAAACTGTAAAAAGACCTTTATATTCTTTTAAGGGGGTTAAGTGAATTAGTTTAATAACTCCAGGGTGTTACACCCACTAGCCTAGGAGTGGGTAATGTTACTTTCACCTTACTTGGAAGACACTTTCATGGGAGAAGTTATTTTTAATAGTGTATTTTTATACTGAAGT